ATGATTAAGGCCTGAAGAATAATCAATTGGTTGTTCTGCCATTGCTTTAAAAGCAAGCTTCGCTTGAGTTCTAGTTAGTCGGGCCCATCGTCAAGACCTGTCAGTGGAACTTTAAAACGCTCGTTCGCATCACGGGACATGACCTTGTACATGTGAGTAGCACGTGTGTCGGGGACTGTCGTTTGTCGGGGTCAACAAACTTCTCTCACGCTACAGAATTTCTTTTTTCTCTCGTTGACATCTTGCCAAGTAGGCGTGGTTGCATCTAGATCTACCACTACTTGACCATTGGAATGCAGTGGGATGTTAATCATTACTTGGTTAAAATTTTGTAACATAACATGTTAAGATTTGATGACGACATAGAAAACTTAAATGGATTAGTCTCATCCATCGTTATTCTTCTCGCCGTCTTACATTGAAATTAAGTCACGGGGAGTCAAAGGTACCTTCCGAAATGACTACACAAGTTATGCTCGAAAATGAAAATCTAGAAGGCTCACAAAGGAAAAACAGCTGCAGATATCATTATTCCTGATATAGCACCACAAATAATGTAGTTATGGTAGTACTTAAAGTTAAAGTATAGAAGGACGAGTTTCTCAGCTATTATTTTATTGTTGTACTTGTTGACAGAAAGAGTACGAACTCGACGTGTCACGTTTGCATTCTAAAAATATATGAATTTCAGAACTAAAAATATTTGTAAGATTTCTTTTGATGGCCCGACTGCCATTTCGATGCTCCCATAGCTGAAATATCACATTAAGCACAACATATACAATTTTCAAAGCTGTAGCTCCATTTTTATTGGAATTGGAAAGGATTTTGTAAGGTATATGAAGAAATCCCCACCTATTGGCAAAGGCTCATATATATATGCTATCGAAGTCAATCGTTGTTACTGTATGAAAACGTGCGCCTTTTGCATAGATGAGTAGAGTTATGTGTAAGCTATTTTCAAGACTATGAAAGTTTCAGCATCACTGCAACCTGCGCCACCAGTCTATCCAACTCCGACTCGAGTACATATTGTCTTTCAGTTTTTCCCTCTACTTTGAGTCCCAAATGTGAACTGATTCCTGCAAAAGTTTTGTCTTGCATGCTTGCCTCATAAAAGGGAATCTGGACACCCCCCACCCAGGGCCCCTTATGACTGATTTGCCGCTGTGGTGTTTGGAGGGTGCTCTTGTGAGGTTTGCTGCTTCTTCTTTCCTGTCAAACATCTATCGTCCTTATCTCCCCTCCTTCTTTTTTGTGTTTGTTACTCTCTTGTAACACCTCTAATCTTCTGTCGCTCATATGACTTTATGCAGTTGCGAGCGCCGTATAACCTCTTCTAAAACAAACCTTTCAAGGTTGAAAAAGATCTAGAACTTTGGTGTTATTCACTGATAACGTTGCTGTGCGCACTATTTGATTTGTGTCTCTGTTTGGCAGTATCAAGACGACATCACCGAGCTGAATGAGATAGCCAAACACAGACCACGTTCTACGCTTGTCTTGGGCATTGCACAAGAGAACCGCCAGATTCGCGAACTGCAACAGGAGAACCGAGAACTTCAAGCCACGCTAGAGGAGCATCAGTCGGCTTTGGAGCTGATCATGCAGAAATACAGAGAGCACACTGTCAAACTCCTTCACGGCAATCGTTTAGAGAGAGCTCTTCATGACAAAGAGTCAGCAGACAAGGTATATATATATGAATGTTATATTGTTTTATCTCTGTCAACAGGTCAGTGTTGCAGGATGCTGTTAGTTCTTTTTCCTTCTCCAGTTTGTTGACTGTTATGGTGTCGTTTTTTAATGTGTCTGAAGTTGAAACAAGCTATGTAGTATATTTGGTCTGTCATAACGGCAAATTTATCAAATTGTGTATTTATTACATGCAGTTGTTAAATAAGACTGGTCCAAATTCCTAACCAATTTTATTGTCAGGCAATATTATTTTCAAATGGCTTCATATCTACCTGAACAAGGAAATTCATAAGGTTTTTTAAATTTTATTTGCTTTGTCGTGTTTTCTTAATGCTTTGGAATTGTTTTTCTTCATTTTATTTGGCTATGGTAAAATCCATGTTTCTTTGACTTATAATACAGATGGAAATTTATGTTTGTTACTGATAAAGCTTCTTCACTGTGACACCATGAGTAAAATTGAGATTCCAGTCAACTCATTTGTACTCTACTACTAATATTATATTGTGTTTTCCAGGATTCCATGTGCCATTTGATGGACAAAATAGATGAAATGGCCGGTGTCATGCAGAAAGCAATAGAGGCAAGTAATTTCTGGATTTTTGTTCTCATTAAATTATAGTAGTCTCCACCTAAAAGCATGCCATACAAAAGCACGCTCTGCTCAAGCGCACGCTTTCGTCATCTGACAGGTTTTTTACTATATACAGCCGAACCTGTCCTGACAGCCACCTGTACAAACGGCCACTTTCCATTTCCCCCCTTGCATTTTTTCGATATAATTTAACTGTGTAAAACAGGCACCTGTCCGCCGCGGCCACCATATTTTAACACACAACCCCTATCACACCAAGCAATAACACCTGTCTTAGACGGCCACCTTAATGACTCCTTTTCGTTTTGTCATAAATTGTGCATTGACCCCTGGCGTTGTGGGCGAGCCGTCATAATTTAATCACCTGTCGTTGTTGTTAGGTAGTTCTCCAACCGGTCTTGTTGCGTAGGCCCCTCCCACTGTTGACCAATAGGTACCAATTTCCAGCTTGCTGGTGAGGGAAGCGTGTGATCCCTCATAACCCATAAGCCAGAACTCATACACAAATCGTAAGTGAGATGAGTGGTCACTGTTTACCCTGTCTGTAACAAAGTAACAATGAACGTCAGCATGAACTTGTGACGGGAGCTTCGCTCATTCTTCGAATGGTGGCGACCCATGTTTGTTTTACCATAACACTCCGCCCTCCCTGTCTGACACGTTTCATTTTATTGTCACCCTTGCACAAAATCAGTAACAAAATAAAAATAACAAACAAAATTCAAACCAACAACAACAAGAACAACAACAATGCGGCTACTTTTGATTGGGAATGGGGTTTGTTTTCTTCATCTTGATCAGTCCTGCCTAAGACGGCCACCTGTCTTATACGGCCACTTTTCTCCTTGACAATGGGTGGTCGTCTTACACAGGTTTGACTGTAATTTAGATGTACAAATGCATTGCACTCCCTGTAAACGCATACTCCAATCCGCGAAGCATGCCGACAGATAAAGCTTGACAAAGGGAAATTTCCACTACAACCTGCACAGCTTGCATAAGACAGGCCTAGAAAACCGGATACTTGGTGAGACTTCCTCTCATGCCGAACAAAGAGAATGATGGACAGCGTTTTCACACCCAACTTTCTACAGACACATAGGGTCTAGGACTGGTCGGTGAAATTTTACTGAAATGTTTTTTTATTTGTCACTGGAAATGCATCTTTGAGGGAAGGTTTCTGACTGCTGTTTAGGTGACTGCATGTAATGTTTAGTATTATGTAGATAGACTTGGGCCTATGATGCGCAACACGTGTGAATGCTGTAAAACATTAGATAGGCCTCTATAGGATTAAAGATTAGTCAAGTAAGCGTAATCAGCTGCGCTCGTAGAACTTATAATGTACTTGTTCTACGAATCACAAGAGAAATGTTTCTCTGAATGTAGAGATATATGATTCTGATGTCGTTCATGAATTTACGGTGGGGCGTGGTCGCTTTGAAAACCACGTGGCTGCGCTGTCGTCTCTGCGACCATCACCTACAATTTCCTCTTAGGCTATCTGTTCTCGACATTTTATGGTGTGTATCATTACTTTGAGTCTGTTTTTCTGCACCCATCCATCCATTCAACGCCTTTGTATTCTTAACCGCATTCCGCAGTTGCGAAATCCTTCACAAAACAGTCACATGTCGTCACATTATCGGCCAAAGTGACCCCCATCCGGAAGGGAGGTCACTAGAATAACAAGGCAATGTGATTACTGCGTCCCTTCCTCCCTTTGCAAAGATTCATGTAAACGCACGCTCCGTATAAACACACACTAAGGAACCCCCCCAAGCACCGTGCGTTTAAGTGGAGACTGCTGTACTAAGTAAAGGGTTTTTGAATTTTAAGCAGGTTTGCTATTTTTTGTCTCATTTTGGCCTTAGCATTATAGCATTCAGTGTATATATTAATGATTCAGTGTGTTGATACAAGTCATTCTACTCCAACCCTTCAGTTGCCTTTATGAGAAATGATTGTGATTCACATTTTTTTCACTATGTGAACTCTCAGTCCAACTTACACTTACAGCTAAGATTACATGAACGTACGCCTATTCATCATCAGCACCTTACATACATATACTCTCTCTCTCTCTTTTTCACTATCCCACCCTTCTCTGTCTCTCTCTCTCTGTCTCTCTCTCTCTCTCTGTCTCTCTGTCTCTCTGTCTCTCTCTGTCTCTCTCTCTATTACTCTCTCGGACTTGAGTGCAATCTCTTGCTTTGCGTGTCTGTTTATCTTTCTTGCTGTCTCTAGCATACGTTTATTTACACACCCAAACGCAAGTTCTCTCTCT